CTTACAGTATACCTTCTTTTGAAAAAGGACTACGCAGCGCCCGCCCAATTCCGTCCTGCCAGGCGTATTAATCTTGCTCGTCTTAAGGATTTATGGTGCCAACTGTTTTTCAGAGGTGATCACCTCCAAAGAAATCTTCTGCAGCGTTTTCGAGAACGTTCAGAATTTTCGCTGACAATAATTGGAAGCATCTGTGTCTCTCGCTCTAGCCTTATCTTTGTTAACAGTCGTCAATAAAGACATACCCCGCACTTAACCAATTCGTGGGATTCCTTGCTTGCCCTAGTAGTCCGGTGCGTAATCGCGAACAGTTCAAAGGGAGCTTCATAAGTTGCACTTGGCAATTATGTACAGTATGCCGCGTATAATTGCAATTTATGAAGGCCACAGCGTCCTCGTCACTCATTGCAGAGCTGCGAAAGTAGGACAGTTTTGCGACTAACCACCGAACTACTTGGACTAGGACGGAATCCTATAATTGGTTGAATGCGGATCTGTATTTAAAGCCCTTCGCGCTCGAGAATGATGGTTTCTGCGGATCAGATACTAATGTAAAGATAGTAAATAACAAAAGTGAAGAAAAAAGTAGAATAACCCGCCTCAAATGCACCGTGTATAGTGTGATTTGCTACGGACGGTTGGGCGTAAGCTTGGCGCGGTGCCAAACCCGTTCCCCACCAGTTGTTGAAGCGAGCAAATGATATGACTGTATCATATGTTTTGTACTGTATCATATCGTTCGTATTACTCGTTTTCTACCACTTTTTGTCGCATGCGCGCTTCAACAAGAAGGCAGAGAACGGCTTTGACGGGGTGACACACTCATACTGCCTGACACGCCCAACCGTCCGCAGCGAACTAGAGTGTAAAACAACGCTCATGCATACATAAGGCGAAAAAGGGCGGGGTCGGACGAGTTCTCACAAATTGGTATCAGTTCTTTCTCCTCATCACCTCACTCTCACTAGTGAGCAAGCTGTAGCATCGTCGCGAGCGGGCTCACGCTTTCCTCGCCTCTTTTGAGGTGCACAAGTAGTACATCCTCCATGCTTGCTAGCAGGACTACCGGGTCCAGGGAAGGGGTGGGTAAATCAAATGAATGCAAAGCGTGCCTTCAAGGGATGGCGAGTGAGAGAGTGTGATACGACTGACTCCCACTCACAGTAGTGAATAGATGCTATTTCGAGTTCGTGGTGACCTAAAGTTTACATCGACCTTTCCTGAACGGGGTTTTATGAACTTCTATGAAAGCTTCATAGGAGTCTGAAACCGTTTGGCAATAAGTTTACAAACTAGTTGACCTCGACTTCATTCCGACGATATGGTTATCCATTTACAACAACTCGAAGCGAGATTACTATCATCCTTACCATTAAGATCGGAAGAGCGGTTTGTCGGGGGGGGGGGGGGGCGTCACGTCGTCTGTCTCGAACGCCCACTCACAGGAAATGTGACGTACAACGTGTTCAAAGAATATGGGGGAAAGAAGCAGAGACACGTTCTGATGTAACATTGTCCCGTCGCCATTTGGCCCCTCGAGCTACATGTCCCTAAGTTTTAGAGAAATTTGAAATAATCATGAAGAACAACCTCGTCTTGTATTGCTTTAGATTCCTTCGAGAGATTCGGAGTGGAAGAACTGCCGCCCATTGGCCTATACTAACAGAATGATGCACCACACACGTTCCTCAAGGTATACATATATCAGACCTTTGATATGGCTAACATGGTAAACAACACCTTTTGAAATAATTTATTTCCTACCATTGTAATTCATATCATGCGTTCATCTGTTGGAAATACCATTTTTAGCAGTTAGACGAGTACAATTCGAATGGAATTAAACTAATTCAAGGATGGAATCTTATAAGAAATACTACCGCCACCGGCACAAACACTCAAGTCATGACTCACAAAAGGATAACTTTGCATCGAGCCGCATTCAACATATCACAAATATCTTAGGGAAACATATATTGTCGTTTTCGCTCCAGACGCTCGGGCGTGTCAGGGAGGGGGCTGGAACCGGCGCAGCGCCAGCCGGTTTTCCACCAATTATTGTCGCTTGCCCGCTCCAGCAATTGGTGTAAAACGGAATGGGGCCGCGTCAAACGCAGGCCCTCTCGCTAAAACGCCTCAGCGCCTGCAGCGAAAACGAGTGTTAATTAGCAATCTGCTTGCAACGATCAGTCAAAGGAAATAAGAGGCTGCTCAGCGATTTCCTGTTGAGCAGGAGCAGCGTTCTCCGTGCCTGAAAAAAGATCAAATTTTTACTGATACATCACCTTGAAAATCTATGGGCTGAGAAGGATTGGTCACCGTTTACGGGATGTTGTATATGGTAACCGGCATGAGGATTCACTGGATATTGCTGCATTTGCATCTGTTGTTGGGGTGTGTTGTTCACGTATGGCACAGGAGCAGCATTTTGTGATGGCGGTGGTTGTTGCGCTGCATCTATCGGTTGCTGAAATACTTTTTTTACAAAAAAAAGACTATGGTCATATTACCATTACAATCACTTCTTCCCAGCCCAAACAGCTGCGGGAAATATACCATTTCCACTTTAGTTACCCGCTCAAACGCGAATTCACGCGCCCTTTTTCAAATACCAAATTCACCACTTTTCAAATCAAATTCACCATCACTTTCCAAATCAAATTAACACTTATTGGGCCGGGCAACTCATCGATCAGATCACGCCAGACACCACGTCGAAAGCCCCGCCACGCCTACTTGTTAGCGGCGGACATAGGTTTTCAAATCTTGCTTCATAACTTCTGCTTATGTGATTTCTCTTACCTTTTGCTGTTTCCCACAAACACTTTGACTAAAAACGACTGGACATCGGCACATGATCCACTCCGCTCATGCTGCTCTGAGAGGGTTTGCCTACAAAAAATCAAATAAAGAGTTTGTTCGCGAAATTGAACAATACCGAACGACTAGCAGTGGCCAGCAATAGACTTCTATGAGCTAGGCGCGGAATTTGCACCCAATTGTTAAATGTGTCGACTGGGGGCTCATTCGGAAGAGGGCGGAGCTCTCGCGGTGGGCGGGCTTTACGCAGCAGCCCAAAAAATGCAAAAATCTAAAGAAATACCAAAATTCCGCGAAAAGCAAGCGGACGTGTCAAGGGGCGGAGCCTAGATTGCCAAACATTTTAGAGAATTGGAGTAGTCGGCCATGTGTCGATGTCCAGCTCGTTTTCAGTCAGTGTATTGTGGAAACAGCAATAAGGTAGAAAAATTATCATAAGGCAGAAGTTAAATGAAAAGATAGAATAAATCTGTCTGCGCTTAAGAGAAAGTAGGCGTGACGCGTCGGGGCCGTGGGCTTGCCAGTGGTGTCTGGCGTGAAAATGGTACAAAGAGAGGCATAGTCATCCATGCACGCCGGACGAGCCGAATGAAAGGGATTTGCTGGGCCAGAGGTTTTTCCACAAATGATGCCATCCTGACTCTGCGCAACGATTGGCGGCAAAGGCAGTTCTGGCTGCGCTTCAACTCACAGCCGTTCACACTCCCTATCGTTTGCAGATAACATTACCATATGTGGCACGAACATACAGTACGTGTTGGGATTCGTTTCTCTCACCTTGGACACATAAAAATGCTAATGAATATGTGGTTTGGCACGCACATCGGCTTTCGAGCGTTATATCGCTCGCGTGAAAATGCAAAAGGACAAATCGCACTATCATTACCTGTTGATATGGTGCCTGAGCCGATGTTGGGACGGGTGCGTAGTAACCTTGCTGAGGATGAGCCTGTGGTTGTTGGGGCACCTGGGATCCATTTGTAAGGGGTGGCTGTTGTTGCGCATGGGAAGCAGGAGCCGAGTAGGAAGCTAAAACATCATGGATCAATGAAAGCTGGTCAGAAAACAAACCACTCACTTTGCTGAACTTGCATTGCTGGATCGGGCCATTGGTTTGCAGCTGGGATCGCAGCATTAGGATACTGTTGATACCCCGTGTGAGGCTGAGCAAACTGCTGTTGAGCATAACCCTGATAAGCAGGCATGCCATAGTTAGCTGGAACAAAACACATCCAGTGGTAACTCTACAATCAGTGGAAACAAGCAATTTACCTGGATATCCAGCTTGAGGCGGTGCTGGCTGTTGTGGCCCATAGTTAGGATAGTAGGCGCCTGGTGCCATCTAGACGAGAGCATCGGATTATCAGAATACAAGATCAGAACAGAGAGACTTAAGTAAGACTCGAGCTCAAGACCTCACCTGCCCTCGCCTTGCTTGCATTTCCTGGTGCTGGAATCGTTGTAAAGCAACATTGCGCTGCTCCATTAACATCACCTGATAATTAGTAACTAACCAACTACTACGACTCACAAATCTTGAGAAAAAAGGTGGGGGAACTGAAGACATTGTGTAGTATCGTAATCACCAACATTCATACATTTCTGGAAGTGCCAGCGCTTCACGCAAAAAGTTTTCCAGCAAATTAGCTAGAAAAAAAGCCCACCAAGTAAGCGAAGATCTCTTATGGTCTAATTCGCTGCGGACGAAGGGGCGCGTCAGGCGAAATAAGTCTAGCGTGATGCCAAATCCTTTCTCCACCAGCTCTTGAAGTGAGCAAGAGACAAGACTGTATCCCATTGCTCGTATGAGCCGTTTTCTATCGTTGTTGCCGCATACGCTTTAACAACTCGCAGAGAACGGGTTTAGCGCCGTGACACACTCAGCCTGACACGCCCTTTCATCCGCAGCCAACAATGATTTTCAGTGTCATGTAATTTGGGACCAACTTGGAACCAAATGATGCCAAAATGAATGTCGATCCATACTAAGTAGGCGAAGTAACTTTAGTAAGCTACAATGTGTCGCACTTGGTGAGAAAAGGTGAGACGCTAGGAGGTTGACGCCTAATGGCGTCACTTTCCATCTTAATAGACACAGCATTGGACATACCCTATGAACAAAGTTCTAAAAATTGTTCTCGAAGATCCCAGGTTGTAACAGCGGATCATGGAAATATCGGGACGAAAATATAATTTCTATCACGACCGAAAGAGTCGCTCAGTGTGAAAAATTCTCACATGCTTTTTCATACGCATCATTTCCAACGTCTGTTTCATCTGCGCTTGTCGCTGTCTCTGTTCTTCGGCGAGTCGTTCCTGTTGTCGACGACTATGTTCCGCGCGTAGTTCATCTATCGCCAAACGAGCTTCACTAATGTGACCCAGATGGTCTTGCAGCGATTCGTAGTAATCTGAACGTCCCTTTGTAAAAAGGATGTTCTGGAAAAGCATGCAGAACTGGAGCT